ACTTGAGTTGTTGAGCTACCAACCAGCCCCAAAGGCTGTGAATCTCACTAAAGATTAACTAATAATAATAATAATAATCCTGAAACACTTTGTGGATTAGCTGTTCCCCCATTTATCTGAAGAACCGTCCTTGGGAGCATCTGCTGCCTTCATTCTTACTCTGGTTCAGGGGTCCCCAAACTTGGCAGCTTTAAGACTTGTGGACTTCAACTCCCAGGATTCCTGAACTAACCATGACGGGAGGAGGAATTCTGGGCGTTGAAGTCCACCGGTTTTAAAGCTCAAGTTTGAAGACCTCTGCTCTAGTTATTAATTTGTTAGTTGGGAAGTCCCCTACCAGGGGATGTAGATGGGATTCTGAGCAGGGTTAAATCTTACAGGATGGGCAGATTTACTTTGATGTAAGTAATCTTCAATATAATCACCTCTGAACTATATAAGGCTGGGTAAAGTTATTATGTGGGCAGGTCTAGAGGAACCAATCTCTAATGGACTGAAACCTTCTGATCAGGGCTCTATGGCATACTTTCTGACTGACAACGTTTACTAAAAACGGCTGCCTTATAATGAAATTTTACATAAAAGAGCTACTGCAAACAAGCTCATTTGCTTCTGCAGACTTATATCATCAGTCTGCCTGCAACAGGTGGTCTCCAGCCAGTCAATTGCAGTAGTCCAGACACGAGATGCCAAGGATACGAGTGTCTGTGTGCAAGGCCACTTAGTCCAAGAAAGGTTGCAGCTGGTGCACAACATGTTTTACAAGGTTCTCTTGAGCTGCTGGGGAAAAAAATCAAAAGCAACCCCTTCAATTTCTATTCAGAAATTGGCAACCAATGGTTATATTTTAATTCAGAGTTCGTATGATCCTTTTCCCTGCTGTAATTAGTAGCTGAGCAGCTGTAGGTTTTTTTTTTTTTTTTTTTTTACTACCGGTAGTTGCTACTCTTGGACAATCTTGAAGGATCGCCCACAGAGAACAGGTGTTTGTCGCGGTCTCACTTGTGAGCTGAGCTCTATCAAAATTGGGTGTGTGGGTGGATGGACAGACAGACAGATGGATGCAGGTAGATACGGATAGATACTGTGTTTCCCTGAAAATAAGACCCTGTCTTATATTTTTATTGTCACCAAAAAGGTACCAGATCTTATTTTGGGGGGACGTTATCCACTGACTAACCTCACTTTTTACACATCGCCCCCTGGCCTCCTTTTCGCTGTCAGAGGCCTTCAGGAACTTCTGCAGCTGGAGAGGCTTTCCTGAAGGCCTCTGCAGCCGATAAACAGCTCAGGATCGATCCTGAGCTTTGTGTCAGCTACACAGGCCTTCAGGAAAGCCTTGCCGGCTGCAGAAGAAATGGGCCGGCCAGGCAGGTGTCAGGGTGTGCGAGGCCTGGCTACAATGGTCCACAGGTAAGTAAGGCAGCTCCAACACCCCCCACCCCCCACCCCATATCCCCACCCTAGCTTAATTTTTACCTGTCCACTCGAGTGGGCGGGGTCTTCATTAGGGCTTATTTTGGGTGCATGTGCCCAAAAAAAGAATCAGGCTAGGACTTACTTTCAGGATAAGTCATATTTTGGGGGGAATGTGATAGATGTAGTCCTTCACTTACGACTAGTCACTTAGTGGCTGTTTAAATTACAAATGACCCTCCTCACAGATGTTCCAAAAATTTGAGTGGCTGTGGCCTTCCCTCTCTCCCCCCTTCCCACCTCAGCCGTCCTGCGGCTACATTTTAGATGTTGAAACAACCGGCCTGCATATTTGACTTGATAGCAACATCCTGCAAATCACATAAACTCACTGCGATTTTTGCTAAAAAAAACAGCATTTGCTTCTGGGTTTGGGCAGAAACATCCCACAGCAAACAATGGACTCGCTTAACGAGCATTGCAAAAGTCATAATCCTGGGTCACTCAAGTATGCAATGTCCCAATTTACAACTGTGGTAGGCAGATACCAAAACAGCGGTAGTCAAAGAGAGAATGTAAGTACAGCCTAATTTTAGATGAGTGCAGAAGCAGAGGTGGTATATTCAGCCGGTTCTGACCAGTTCTGGAGAACCACTAGCAGAAATTTTGAGTAGTTCGGAGAACCGGCAAATGCCGCCTGACTGGCCCCGCCAACTCCATCTATTCTCTGCCTCCCATTGAGTCCCAGTTGATTGGCTGGGTCTCCTTTGGTTGCCCTGCACAGGAGAAGGGAGCTGGAAAGCAGGTTAGTGGGGTGGGGAGCGAATGAGGATTTCGGAGTAACCTTCCCCTGCCACTCTCCCACCAAGCCATGCCACGCCCACAGAACCGGTAGTAAAAAAAATAATAATAAATTGAATCCCACCACTGAGCAGAAGAAATGACTTTGCGAACCCCTCCTGAGAAAAAGCGGGGTCGATTCAGATAATTAATTCCAGGAGCAGTGAAAATGCAGGCTAGATTTAAAAAAAAAAAATATTGGAAATATTCAAAGTTGATTCTGGCGGAATTGAGCGAATGCCAGTACTTCCCTTTTGCATTTCAGAACTCAGAACGTCCTGGGGGAGAAAGGACGCCGGATTCGCGAGCTGACGGCCGTGGTTCAGAAGCGATTTGGATTCCCGGAGGCCAGCGTGGAGGTAAACGATGCCACCTGCGCTGGCTGGGAGTTGGAAGTCCACCCACCTTAAAACTGGCCGAACGTGGGGGGGAAACCCTGCCTTCGCGCTCATCTTCCCTTCAGTGACGATACGATGACGAGTCAGAAACGGACACCCTCTTGCTCGGAGCCAACAGCCCCGGGGGGCCATGTTCTGTGGCCCTTTGCTGGTTAACTCTGACAAGGGTGCCCTGATCACTGGATGAACTAGAGGCATTTGTCTGAGAAGGGACAGGCGGGATTCCTTAACGAGGATTTTAAAAGCCACAAGCAGTTCTGTCTGTGGCTTTTAATGGGCTTGACTTAACGACCACAATCGAGCCCCGAGTTTCTGTTCTTAAGCGAGACATTTCTTAAGTGAGTTTTGCCCCATTTTAGGCAAGGGAGGGGATGAAAGGGGCTGGAAAGAGCAGTCCGGCAGCTTGGAAACCGGAAGTGCATTCCATACATGGTTTTTCAGAGATTGTAACTAGGTGACTGAAGTTTCTGCCACTGCAAAATTCTAACCGGAGAGCACGATTAAGGACTCTGGGCTATGGAGGTGTCCCATTGGAGGATATGAATTATGATATACCCAGAGGGGTGGGGGGGAAAACCAGGGTCAAGGGTGACCATGAATGATGGGCCTCAGAGTCGGCTACACCCAGGCAGTGCCGGACATGTTACCTCCCAATAAATCCTTTGGAAGTTTGGCTCGAGACTCGGGATTTAATTGGGGGTAACTGCCGGAATCCTGACATCTTTCTTGCCACCGTTGTTAAGTGAGTCACTGCAGTTCTTAGGTTAGTAACACGGTTGTTAAGTGAATCTGGCTTCCCCCTCTTGATCACGTGACCCTGGGATGCTGCGACCGTCATAAATACGAGTCAGTTGCCAAGCATCTGAATTTTGATTAGGTGTCCCCGTGCATGCGGCGACGGTCATAACTCTGAGAAACGGTCACAAGTCACTTTTTTCAGTGCCGCTGCAACTTTGAACAGTCTCGAAATGAACTGTTGTAAGTCGAGGATTGCCTGTATTGTCAGTTGTGTGTCGAGTGTTGGGATTTAAAAGGCAGGTATTGAAAACCTCTCCGCTGTGAGAGGAAACTAAAATTTCTTTACAAAGAGTCCTCAACTTAAAACAGTTCACTTCGTGACCAAAGTTACAGTATCGTGGGGAAAAAGTGACCTACGACTGTGTCAGGATTCTGGCAGTTACCCCAATTAAATCATGAGCCTCAAGCAAAACTTTTGAAGGATTTATTGGGAATTAACATGTCCGGCACTGCCTGGGTGTAGCCGAATCTGAGACACATCAATCATTTGTCACCCTTGACCCTGGTTTTCCCTCCACCCCTCTGGGTGTATCATAATTCATATCCTCCAATGGGACACCTCCATAGCCCAGAGGCATCAATCATTTATCCAGTTAGAATTTTGCACGACAGAAACTTCAATCACCTAGTTACTATCTTTGAAAACATTTATGGAATGCACTTTCGGTTTGCAAGCTGCCTCGCTGCTCCCCCCTCCCTTTCAGTTGGCAACTCTAAAAAGACCATAGAAATATTTTATGAGTTGACTGTTTTCACACTTAAAGACATTTGCAGTGTCCCTGTCATCCAAATACCGATGCTTGTCACGTATTTATGACGGTTGCAGCATCCCGGGGTCGTGGTTTTACGACCTTCTGACAAGCCAATCCAGTGGGGGAAACCAGATGCACTTAACAGCCGGGTTAACTAACTTAACAACTGCCGTGATTCCTTCTGACAACAGAGGCAAGAAAGACTGCAAAACTGAGCCAAAATTCGCTTAATCCCTGTCTTGCTTAGCAACAGAAGTTTTGGGCTTGTGTCCTAAGTGTGCAAAATGGCCATAAGTCACTTTTTTCAGTGCCATTGCAACAGTCATTAGACAAATGGCTATAAGTCAAGTGTTAAGTGTTTCTTCCACAGGGGGAGGAATAAATAATTTCCACTAATTACAAAGAAAAAAAGGGAGGGTTGTGTTGTTTTTTTACCAGAGATTCGTTAACTCCTCCTGCCTGTGACGTGTTTGTGAAGCATGTCGCTCTCTCGCTCTCTCTCACACACAGCTCTATGCTGAGAAAGTGGCCACCCGAGGACTCTGCGCCATCGCCCAAGCCGAATCCCTGCGGTACAAACTTCTGGGAGGCCTGGCTGTGCGTAGGTGAGCATCGGGCCGAAGCCGGATCCAAGCTTTTCCGTTTCAATCTGTCTTCCCTCCAGCTTTTGGTGCGGCTTCGGCACGATAATAGTGGACGCATCGGTGTCTTTTTTTTCAACGTTGCGTTGTGTGCTTAAGGAAGGCGTCTGCCACCACTGTCCTTGGCTGCCTCTCTTGGAAGCCGAAAGAAATCCCTTCTGTGATGATACGATGACGAGTCAGAAACGGCCTCCTCCTGCCCAGGCTCAGCGATACCGTGCCACGTTCTGTGGCCCTGTGTTGGTGGCTTTGGCAAAGGAGGAGGTCCGGACATTGGATGAACAAGAGGCATTTGTCTGAGAAGGGAAGCTCTTAGAAAGACGTCCTTGCTTAACATCGAATGGTGAATTAATTGATTTTTATTAATACTTTTGGAAAAGGTTTGACCAGCCCTGTGCAATTTTTGTTGTTAGTTGCGAAGTTGTGTCCGTCCCCATTGCGACCCCATGGACAACATTCCTCCAAGCCTTCCTGTCCTCTACCATCTTCTGGAATCCACTGAAGCTCGTGACTGCTGCTTCAGTGACTCCATCCAGCCCCACTTCTCCTTTTGCTCCCAATCGTTCCCAGCATGCAGCTCTTCTCCAGGGAGTCCTTCCTTCTCCTGAGGTGGCCAAAGTATTTGGGTTTCCTCTTCAGGATCTGGCCTTCTAAAGAGCAGTCTGGGTTGGTCTCCTCAAGGACTGACCGGTTGGATGGCCTTGCGGTCCAAGGGACTCGCAGGGGTCTGCTCCTCCAGCACCAGAGTTCAAAGGCCTCCATTCTTCAGCGCTCAGCCTTCCTTACGGTCCCACTTTCACAGCCATGCATGGCAACTGGGAAAACCAGAGCCTTGACTCTGCGTCCTTTGGTTGGCAGGGGGATGTCTCTGCTTTTTCAGTGTGCTGTCTAGATTTGCCATAGCTTTCCTCCCCAGGAGCAAGCATCTTTGGATTTGATCTTGGCTGCAATCTTGCCTGTGCAATTTAGACAACACCAAATTGACCAACATGGTAGGTGTGTGAATGCCCTCTTTATCAGCGGGGCAAAATACCATCACCAAACTGCGACTTGTGGGGCTGAAAAACCATCTATCCCTCATATAGTGACAATGTCAAAAACAAAGCCTTATAATGGAAATTTTGCTTGATTGGATAGTTGGGACACATGAACTAAATAATTTATATTGGCAACTTTGTGATCTTTCTGTTAAGCTTTCGGATTTTATATTCCGTGTTTGGTATTTTACCTCTTGTGTTGCTTTTTGCTGAAATATGTGAAGGTGCCCTACGTGATTTTAATTTTAAACATTTTTTAATTAATTACACTTAGAGGGCTGCTGACTCTCGTGCTTATATTTAAATAGTCCCAAGTCCTCAGTCGTGTGTTCTGTCTGTGCGCAGGGCGTGTTATGGTGTCCTCCGTTTCATTATGGAAAGTGGAGCCAAGGGATGCGAAGTGGTTGTGTCCGGCAAACTCCGTGGCCAGCGCGCCAAGTCCATGAAGTTTGTGGATGGGTTGATGATCCACAGCGGGGACCCCGTCAACTACTACGTGGACACTGCCGTGCGCCACGTCCTCCTCAGGCAGGGTAAGGCAGGCGGGAGACTTCCATCAATCCAGAGTTCAAATCATAGAATGTGTCAGGATTCCAGCAATCGCCCCAATTAAATCATGATTCTCGAGCCAAACTTGAAAAACCTTCAAAGGATTCATAAGAGGCGACATCCTGGCACGGCCCTGTAGGAAGCCAACTCTGGCCTACGTCATTTCCGGTCCCCTGTGTGACCCTGTTCCCCCCCCCCCCCCTCCGCTGGGTGTGTCATAAATCAGATTCTCCAATTGAGCCCCTTCATGGGCTGGGTGTCATCAATCATGTTCTCCAATTAAATATATTTGTGGGCAAGAGCTCTGGTAGTTAGTTGGAATGTACTTTTACTTTCAAACTGCTGCACTGCCCTCCCAGATTTCCTTCCTCCTCTCCCCCCCTTTTTATGGCAACTTGTAAAACATAGGAATGGCATAAAACATAGGCATAGGAATTTTTTATGAGTTGACAGAACGTTTATTATTGCTACCTATACGGGTAGTTCTCGACTTAGATTCAGCAGCTCTTGGATTTACCGTATTTTTCGGAGTATAAGATGCACGTTTTCCACTCCCAAAAGGGGGTGGAAATGTGTGCATCTTATAACAGCGAGTGTTGCCAAAGCCCCCGCCCCACCCACCGGCCCCCACTCTTCAGCCTCCTTGCAGCAAACAGCCTGTTTCAGTTTCAACACCAGCCTGATTACCATAAGCAGCTGATCGTTGGTTGGATCGCCCTCCCGACGTTGACTATTGCCACCTCCGCGCGCCCCGTTTTCCGCCCATTCCGATCCCCGCTGCCCGGAATGGGCGGAAAATGGCCGAAAACATGACGTGCAGAGGCTGAAAATGGGCGTGTGGAGGTAGCAATCCTTGCAGCCTGAAACAGCTGATCGTCAGGAGGCCGATCCAACCGACAACCAGCTGATGGGGCTGATCAGGCTGTGCTGAAGCTGAAGCAGGCTGTTGGCTGCAAGGAGGCTGATGGCTGGGAGGCAAGAGGCAGGTTTTTGGGGCGGTCTTGTTTTCCTCTCCAAAAGCCAGGTGCGTCTTATACTCCGGAGCGTCTTATACTCCGAAAAATAAGAGTTATATGCTGCTTCACAGTTCTGTCCAGGCCTCTCAAAGCGGTTTACGGAATCATCATCCTGCCTCCAACAATCTCCTCTCTGGGCAGCTTCCAGGGTCAGTTTATGACTCCCAACCATCTGCACAGGGGGGCGTTGAGAGGAACAGCCTCCTTTGTCTCGCAGCTTGCAGGGCCTCACTTTTTCTTTCTCTTCGCCCGTTTGCAGGTGTGCTGGGCATTAAGGTGAAGATCATGTTGCCCTGGGATCCCAGTGGGAAGATTGGGCCCAAGAAGCCCCTCCCGGACCACGTCAGCATCGTGGAGCCCAAAGAAGAGATTCTGCCCACTACCCCCATCTCGGAGCAGAAGGGCACCAAGCCGGAGCAGCCGCCGATGCCCCAGCCGGTGCCCACGGCGTGAGAGGTGAGGGGTTTAAAGAAAGGTCTGAGGAGGGTAAACGAAAAAGCAACCTTGTTGGGCTCCTTGGCACTCCCTGAGCTTGGGTTGCTTTCTGGCAGACGTTTCCTGACCCGGCTAGGTAAGCTCATCAGTGCTAATGAGAGAGTGGGGCTTGCAGAGTGGAGGAGGAAGACTGCGGGGTCCTTGGTTTCTCTTGAGTTTGGTTGGTTATCCAGACACGATATTCTTCCGATTAAAATTGGAATTCCGATTTTTTTGGGAATCGCCACGAGCGGAGCCCGGGCAGGCTGGCGGTGCGAGTGGTGGGCGGTGCAAGCGGAGGCCGCTGAGCGGCAGGAAAAGGGAGCTGGGCAGCGATTTCTTGGCGTGCGGTGGGGGGTCTCTTGGCCGGCCCCGATTTTTTTTTCAGAGGGGAATATCATGCCTGGTTATCTTTCAGGCATTTCATGACCCAACGAGGTCACCTTGTTGGTGTTAGAGGGGAGTGGGGTTTTTGTAGTAGAGGAGGAGGAGGAGGAAAAGGACCTGGGGTCTTTGCAGTGCACCGTGGCGCCCTTTTATGCTGGGTTGTTTTCTTGCAGACATCGCACGACCCAGCTAGGTAACCTCAGCGCTGAAAGGGAATGGGGGGGTATGCTCTCCAAAGGCAAGCTATTCAAATTTAAAGAGAGAGGAAACCCAACTCCCTTCTATAAGTGAAGATGTTCGTTAGTTTGGGTCGTGAAACATCCGCAAGGAAAACCACAAAGCTCAGAGCACTAAGGACCCCACCGTCCTCCTCTTTCTCCTCATCACAAATGAAAACTTCTGGCACCGCTGATGTTTCCTAGTTGGGTCATGAAACCGTCTGCCAGGAAACGCAGCTCAGAGAGCACCAAGGACCCCACAGTTCAACCCTGATCTATCAAGTTTCTCTCCTATAGGGCATAAGTCAGTGGCGGATATCAAGACCTGATTTAAATTGTTAACGGGTATTTGTGTCCTTGGTCTTCTTACCCCAGAACAGGGGTCCCCAAACTTGGCAAACTTTTAAGACTTGTGGACTTCAACTCCCAGAATTCTCCAGCCAGCCATGCCTGCTTTTTTTCCCCCTCTCTTAATCTCCTAAAGTGGACAGAGAGTAAGTAAGCGATGCTGGCTGGGGAGAATTCTGGGAGTGGAAGTCCACAAGTCTTAAAAGTTTGCCAAGTTTGGAGATCTCTGCCCCAGAACATGGCTTGAAATGAGCGTTGATGGTTTTAGCATTGATTTTTGTTGACTGGCTTCTGAGCCCATATTAACGGGTTGATTTGCAATTCACAAGTGCTAAATGTATTATTTTCACACCTGGTGGCCTTCTTTCTCACTGGTTCCCATCAGTAGCCATACAAGGACATCTTGAGGGCACCAGTTTAGGGAAGCAAACTCCGTGGATGGTATTGGCTGCATGTCATTCCCAAAAGAATTAAAAAGACCATTTGTATTTATGGAAGAATAAAAATAGGTCTTGTCTTCCCCAAGAGTTCTTTTTATTCCCTGATATATGTATTTTTTTTCCTTTTCCTTGCAGGTTTTTGATTTAAAACCTTGGAAGTTCCATTAAAAAAACAACAACTCTTAAATAAATTTTTAAAAAGCCATCAAGAAACGGTCTTTCTTTTACCAACTCTCAGGACTTGAGAGCTTATCCGTCGGAAACCTAAGTTTTAATTCTTCCCAAGTCAAATCCTGCTCTCAATTACGATAGCTCAGCCCAGTTACGTAGTGCTTTTCACAGACCAAATCCTCAACTTACAACCCGTTCATTTAGCAACCAGTTGGAAGCCACAAGGGCACCAAAAAGTGTGTCCTATGAATATTTCTTTATAACAGTTGCGGCATAGCCAGGAGTCATCAAATCATGCTCTCCATTAATAATCTTGCACGCCAACAGCTTCATCTGCCTAGCAATTACCTGAAGCATTTAAGGAATGCACTGCTTTTCCCCACTCCCTTTTCTGCTGGCAACTAAAAAGGCCGAAGGAGTATCATTTAGTTGACAGCCAGATTCACTTCACAACTTCAATTCACTTTTAACAACTGGCAAGAAATGTAAAACCAAAATTCACTTGAAAATGATTTTGCTTGGCAACGGAAAGTTTGGCCTCCGTTGTGGTCGTAAGTCAAGGACTACCTGTAAATTGTCTTTTGCCTCCTGGAATGTGGGGCAGTGGGGCAAGTCTTTTTCAGCTGTTCCTGCCCACTCAAAATGTCCAGCAGGTGGACGTAGACGTGCCCTGTTCCGTTGAGAGAACTTTTAGAGGCCGTCCGAGGACCCACAACCACAGTGGCACCAAATGCTCCCAGCCACATCGTTGCACAAACATCGCCCCTTATTTACAGTCCTGCCACCTGGTGCAACTTCCTTTCAGATCCCCTTCGCCCGGGTGCTGCATATAGGGACTCCCTTCTACCATTTCCTGTCCACTGGGGCTGAGAGGGTGACTGACCCCAATCCCACCTCGCCCCCCTTCAATTTCCATAGCTGCTGGTAGAACTTGAACTGGGGTTTTGAGGGGTTTCTCAACCTCAGGACTTCAGCTCGTTGGCTGGGGAACTCTGGGAGTTGAAGTCCATCCATGCCGATTGGGGAATTGTGGGAGTTGAAGGCTTCTCAGGCTGACGGGAAATTGTGGGAGTTGAAGTCCATGCTGGCTAGGGAATTCTGGGAAATGAAGTTCACACATTGGCTGGGGTATTCTGGGAGTTGAAGTCCATCCATGCTGATTAGGGAATTGTGGGAGTTGAAGGCTTCTCAGGCTGACTGGGGAATTGTAGGAGTTGAAAGTCCATGCTGGCTGGGGAATTCTGGGAAATGAAGTTCACACATTGGCTGGGGTATTCTGGGAGTTGAAGCCCACATGTGCTGACTAGGAAATTCTGGAAGTTGAAGTCCACCTGTCTCAAAAGCGGCCAGTTAAGATCTCCTGGTCCTGGAGCATTCTTTCCCAGCCCAGCCAAATTCAGATTTATTCACAGCCAACCTTTCCCATTTTGGAAACAACATTCATTTCATTCTTTTTCAGTGCTTTGGAAAGGTTGCGGGGGGGGGGGGTGAGAGAAGAGAGATTTCCTATTGCCCTCCAAAGCTGCCGTTTGCCAGTTGCTGCTACATGCCCTCTCCCACCAAAGTACGTCAAGACAGCCGTTCACTGAAAAATATTTTATTGCAAAAACTGTACAACAACGAAGTTGTGTGTGGTGAGTAACAGACACCAACGTGGCTTAATTCACCCTTCACCCGTGGATAGCACCGTCATCCCGTGTGCCCTGCAGTGCCGTTCTGTGTCAGATTTGACTTGTGTCTCCCCTAAAGACCCTCCTGAGAGGCTGATCACACAGGTAACATGGGAAAGGCATGAAACAGGCGACAAGAGGCTGCGTGCATCTTATTTTTCTGTTTTATCTGAGTCTGGCCGTTTAAATTTAGACACCTGCTTCATCTTAAATCTGCAAAAGTTAAAATCTTCCCAAATTTACTCTTGTGCGGGACTGCTGCAAATTGTGAATTAGTGCACATAGCTTGGTGCAGGCGTATTGCACCAAGAAACCAGGTTTAGCCTGCTCTGCAAATACACCTGTTGAATTGCTTACTAACACCTGGTTAAGGCACATTCTAGGTATATCACCATTGGTAGAAATATGCATTCAAACTGGGAATATTCAGTTTAACTCCGAAAAGTCTGCACATTTACCTTGCAGTTTTAATCAAGGCCCCCATTTCCTAACTCCTGCATTATTTACTACACTCGTATAATTTCTCCATCCATCTTCTCTCCCTCATCTCATTCCCTCAATGGGCATGGCAACACCATTATCCCCCTCCAGCCAAGTGAAGGCTTGGAGGATTATGGTCCAAAGTACTGAGAAAGAAACAAAACAGAAAACTACATCAAAACACCAGCAAATCATAATTTTCCCCAATGCTGGAGCGGAAAACATCAGTTTAAATCTAAAAAAAATCACCATTTGGTCTTCTCGGAAATACATCCACCAGTTTTGACTTGGCTCCCCTCTAAGGCTAAAACCATCATGTTTCATAAAACTGAAAATGCAAATACTCTCACTCAGCAAGGACTTTAAATATTAATGTGTGTGTGTGCCTGGATAGCCTCAAATCAGTGGAGTCAAGTCAATGCTTTTAAAAAGAATTAAATAGTAAGTGAAACACTCGCGGTAAGCCAAGATTCCTCAATTCCTTGTTTAAAGTCTAGGTTTTAAAACACTTGGGGAAGGTATAAAATTCTCTCTTTGCAGAGTTTTATATTGCTTGCTTAAATAGGCAGGTAACCGTGGCTGGCAGTCCTCAAAACTTACGACCGCTTGTACAGTGGCTTCGAAATTATTCCTGACACAACCATCACAGCTTCCTTGCAGTCAATATGAACAAAATTTGGACAACTGGCTTGTATGAATGACGGTTGCAGCTTCCCCCAAGTCCTTATCTGGGAAGAGTCAGGTCTCCCATTTGCAACCTTTCTGACAAAAAACATTCCAGGCAGTTGGATTTGCTTGGCCAAAGAGGTTATACACTCAGGACAGACTCGCTTAACGGTCGCATGCCACAGGTGGCACACAGAGCCATATGTGCCGGCACATGAGCCGCAGTGAAAAGCTACCTCATTGTGCATGTGCGCGCCTCACAGCTAATTTTCAGTTGGTTCGAGGCCTTTTTCGGCCTCCCAGAGGCTTGAAAAAAGCCTTTGTAGGCCGAATAATAGGCCCGTTTCATCACTTCCTGTAATACCGGAAGTGACAAAATGGGCCTATTATTCAGTGAGCCGCAGGCAAACTTACCTCACTGCACATGCACACACCTCACAGCTGATTATCGGCTGGTTTGAGGCCCTTTTCAGACTTCCCAGAGGCTTGAAAAAAGTCTTTGCAAGACGAACAATAGGCCCATTTCATCACTTCCTGTAATACCGGAAGTGACAAAACGGGCCTATTATTCGGCATGCAGAGGCTTTTTTCAAGCCTCTGGGTGGTCAAAACAGGCCTCTAACCGGCCGGAAAAACAGCTGTGAGGAACAGTGCAGGTGGGGGGGGGGATTGCATGCATGCGCAGGGGCTGTAAGAGGTTGTGTGCATTGTCTTCTGGGTGTTAGCACACAGGTGCGCGCACAATTTTTGGCACAGGGGCCCAAAAAGTTTAGCCACCACTGGCTTAGCCCATGGTGGTCATAAGCGGAGGACTACCGCATTCTCAAAAAAATGTAAATTGTGGGTTTTGCACAGCAGCGAGGACCTGGCAAAACGGGTAAGAAATGCCTTTTAAATTTGTCTTTCCCATGCTTACACTCTCACAACCCCAAACTCAGTTAACTGGCCAATTTAGCCATCTTGTTTCGTTGCTCAAAGATAATGTGCCATTAGCTTTAGAAAGAAAAGATCCTAAAAGCTGGAGAGATCCCTGTTCCTGGAAGACAGCACATGAATTACATACACACACACGCACCCCTTCGTAAATCTTGGACTGCATTTTAAGTTTCCAGGGCACACAGAAACCACAGGTAGCCCTCAACTTACGACGATTCCGTTTACTGACCGTTCCAAGTTGGGGGGGGGGGGAATGACTTCCAGCCATTTTTCACAGCTGTACGGTCACGCCATCAAAACTGCATGGCAACCGACTCATATATACGATGGTCGCAGTGCCCCCTTTTCCAACCTCCTGACCAGCAAATAGCAACGGGGAAGCCAGATTCACTTAACAACCGTGTTACTTACTTAACAGCAGCAATGATTCACTTAACGGTGGCAAGAAAGGTTGTAAAATGGGAGCCAAAAAATAATCACTCAACAGGAATGTTTGGGCTCGATTTTGGTCGTAAGTCGAGAACTACCTGTATAAACCAAAGTGGGATTCGAAAGGGGTGCTGGAGAATTAAGCCCTCCGTCCTTCCGCCACTTCCCTCGTTCCTACTTCGTATCTCACCATCTTATGAACCCCCATAAAATTTAACAAGTCGAAGGTTTAGAGCAGAGCTCCCCAAACTTGGCCACTTTAAGACTTGTGGACTTCAACTCCCAGAATTCCCCAGCCAGCCATGTCTGTTTATTTTTTTTCTCTCAACCTCCTAAAGTGGAGAGAGATTGCAGAGGAAGGGATTACAAGAGAGCAAGTGATGCTGGCTGGGGAGAATTCTGGGAGTTGAATGTCCACAAAGTCTTAAAAGTGGCCAAGTTTGGAGACCTCTGGTTTACAGGAGTACCAGTTTTGCTTTGTTTTTTAAAAAAAGGCACCTAATTTGTCTCATTTCTTTTTTTAAAAAAAAGAGAAAATCAAAACCAAAAGAGCCGTGCATGAAACCCGGCGTGCTACAAACTACAATTCGTCGTGCATTTTGTCTCCTTTGGGCCTCACCAGCCGGCCGATAAACAGGACAGAGTTGGTCTTATTGTCCTTGACCAGGAAAAGGAAGGGATGGTCGACGTAGAAGAGTTTGGGGTTCCGGATTTCTTCGCGGCTGTAGAGGTCAGTGTCGAAGGGGTTGCCTTCCGTGTCCAGTTCGAGAGCCGCTGCGTGGAAGACGTTGGAGAGGTAGAGGTCCTTCTTGCCGGAGATCTTGGACAAGTCAGCTTTGTTCTTATCCGCGGCTTCGGTTAAGCCGAGATCGGCCAGGTGTTTCTGAACAGGGAGAGAGAGAAAGGGATCTGAATTTTTTCCCCCTGATCAACCATTGGATGAACTTCTGCGATGTCAAGAGTTCGGGAGTCCTCGACTTACAACTACAACGGAGCCCAAAGTTGTAGGTCCGTGACAGCGAGCCTATGACACGTGTGCCGAAGTGGCATGCAGAGCCATTACTGACGACACGCGAGCTGTAGGCAAACTTACCTCACTGCGCATATGCGCAACTCACAGCTGATTTTCGGCCGGTTTGAGGCCTATTTTGGCCTCCCAGAGGCTTGAGGAAGACTTCTGCAGGCTTTGCAGGCCGAAAACTAGGCCCGTTTCATCACTTCCAGTATTTCCGGAAAAACAGGAAGTGACCAAACGGGCCTAGTTTTTTGCCTACAAAGCCTGCAGAAGCCTCCCTCAAGCCTCTGGGAGGCCGAAAAAGGCCTCAAACCAGGCGAAAATCAGCTGTGAGGCGCAGTGCAGGTAAGGCGGCTGCGGGGGTGGCAATTGTGTGTGCATTCGTAGGGCATGTGGGGTGGGTGCGCATTGCCTTCTGGTGCTGGCACACGAGCATGCAAGCATGCACGCAATTTTTGGTACAGAGCCCAAAAAGGTTATCCACCACTGGTATAAGGGTCTCTTGTTCGTGCAGGGGGGTTGGACTAGAAGACCCTCCAGGGTCCCTTCCCCCTCTTATTCCCACTGGAGAGCTGAGGATGCTCACCTGAATGTCGTGGCTGACCTCCAGGCTGACCTTGGGCAAGGAGATGGCCACTGACCGCTGCTTCAGCTTGCCCAGCCAACTCTGCAGCTGTTCTCGGGTGAGCAGCTTCTCCAGGCGTTCCAAGGGCTCGACGTGGTTCGGCATAATTATGATCAGGCTGGAGAGCTTGTGGGCCAGCGGCATCTCCACGATCTGCAGCTTCTCCGCCTCGTCCGCGTAGTACTTGTACAACCCTGCACAAAAGTTTAGAATCAGTGGGCTGATCAGAAAGCGCACAGAGAAGAGCAACTGAGGCGATCAGGGGACTGGAGGTTAAAACATACCAAGAAGGGTTGCTGGAATTGGGGGTGTCTAGTTTAATGAAAAGAAAGACCAAGGTGTTGTGGCCCGCCAATGGTCAGTGGAGCTGGCGGCAGACTCGGACAGTGAGGAGGAATATGGGCTCGTCCTGGAGTCTGGGGAAGGCTCTGACGAGGGCTCTGCATCAGAAGCAGAGATGAGGCCAGGGCCGTTCAACAGTTATCAGCTGCCTTCGGAGTCAGAGATCAGTGGGGAAGAAGAATAGCTGGAGCCTGTTCCCAGTGCACATGCACAGAGCTGCCAGAAGAAGGGAACAGCTAAGGAATAAGGGTCGACTCCTGAGTAAAGGCTCAGGTGGATGGGGAATGGCCCCTCCCATGGGGAATAAAAGAGGAGCGAAAGGGGAATGGGGGTTTGCAGGAGACAATTCGTTCAATTCATTAGGGTGAAGATCTGTTCCTAACTCCTTGCCGAGTATTGTCTGCTACAGAGTGGCGTTGGGAAGATTATCGGCCTGGCAACTCTCCAAGCCTGACAAAGGTCTGTAGTTGTGCAATCTCTTGAAAGACTTGTTTGCCGGGACTTTGCTGGAGAGGAATTCCCTTGAACTTAAAAAAATAACAACAATCCAGGATTCCTTACCTGTACGGTGCATCATGGGAACGCTGACTGTGTAGGAACGAGACACCATGAAGCCACGCTTGTCCACCATCTCGTGATGGAACTTCTCATCCCAGTGCGCTTAAAACAAAACAAAACAGGCATGAATGACAAATGCAACGAGTGGTGTGGTGGCCTCACAATCGCCGCACAATCAAAAGGCTGTGAGTTCGATCCGAGGTAGAAGGCAGATATTTCTCTCTCTGGGCACACTTGAGAATATATCTCCTGAACAAAACTCCGCACTGGTGACAGGAAGGGCATCCGGCCATTAAAACACTCTGCTTGTTCCATTCAGTTGCCCAGACTCCACCCCGGCAAGGGATTATGGAGTTGATAAAATGACGACGATTAATGAAAAAAGGCAACAATGGAAAAAGAAGTTTGCAAAACGGGTTTACTTTAGATCAGGGTTTCCCAACCTCGACCCCTTTAAGACTGTGGCTGGGGAATTCTGGGAGTTGAAGTCTCTCCCCCACCCCCCCCCCCCTATTAAAGGGGGCGAGGTTGGAAAACCTTATCCTAGATCTGTGATGGCGAACCTATGGCACGTGTGCCACAGGTGGCACGCAGCCATTTGTGCCGGCATGCGAACTGCAGGCAAACTTACCTGATTGCGCATGTGCGCGCCTCACAGCTGACTTTGGGCTGGTTTGAGGCCTTTTTCGGCCCTCCCAGAGGCTTGAGGAAGGCTTCTGCAGGCTGAAAACTAGCCCAGTTTCATCACTTCCTGTTTTTTTCCGAAAATACCGGAAGTGACGAAACGGGCCTAGTTTTCGGCCTGCAAAGGCCTTCCTCAAGCCTCTGGGAGGCCAAAAAAGGCCTCAAACCAGCCAAAAATCAGCTTTGAGGCGCAGGGGATGGTAGGTAGGGATTGTGCACTCATGCGTAGGGGGTGTGGGGAGGGGGCGTGCATTGACTTCTGGGCGCTGGAGTGCGAGCGTGAAAGCATGCGCACTATTTTTGGCACAGGAGCCCCAAAAGATTAGCCACCACTGTCCTAGATGCATTCCTAAGGAACAAATGAAGCGTCGTATTACTTTCTGAGTGGCCACCAAGTGGACTCAACCACAGGAAAGGAGGGATCAAAACAAGGAAAGACGGCAGCCGCCGTCTCCATCTTGACCTCCCGATCCGCCTGTCGATACCCATACCGCCAACTCTCCGCCACGTCCCCTCCACTCTCTCCTTCCACCCAGGCAGACTCACGTTTGAAGAACATGGCGTTGACAATGAAGGCCCCGTCGGTCTTCTGCACATCTTTGGTGACCTCGGGCAGCTTGCCGTCGGTGGTCTGGGCCGCCCACTCGTTGATGGACTTGAGGGCGCTCCGCTTGTCCCGGAAGTTGATCTTCGAGTGCTCGTAGTTGTAGTGCTTCTTGCTGTTTTTCACAAAGTCCTCCGCGAAGCTGATGGAGCTGGGGCCGTAGAGGCGGCTGCCGAGTTTCCAGGTGACGTTCCGGGCCGTGGCGTTGCTGACGTCAGTCAAGAGCTCGGACAACCCGCTGTGGATGTAGTCGTCGTTGAGCTTGCTGGCGCTAAGGAGGGCCTTGGCTTGAGAGGCCGTCGTGTCCTTTCCTCCGAGGGACACCAAGCCCAGAGAAGAGGCCACCACCACGGGGGACACCAAGATGTTTTCCAAGCTCTTGTCCTTGGCCATCACCTGGTAGAGGTTGAAGGCCAGGATGGCGCTGCGGTCGGCCAAGGTGGTGGCCTTCTCGGTCAGCTTCTTCTCTTTCGGGGTGGGCTTCTCGCTCTTCTTGTCGTCGGAGGGGACCGCCGTGGAGAGTGCGCAGAGCGCGAGAAGGTGGATCAACCAGGTGGAATCCATGACAACGGAGCGCAGTCCTGCAGACCTACGAGGAACCGAGATATAGAATAAACAGAGTTGGAAGGGACCTTGGAGGTCTTCTAGTCCAACCCCCTGCCTAGGCAGGAAACCCTACACCACTTCAGACAAAGGGCTATCCAAGCTCTTCTTATAAACCTCCAGTGATGGAAGAGCCACAACTTCTGGAGGCAACTTCTGTTCCATTGGTTTATTGTTCTGTCAAGAAATTTCTCCTTAGTTCTAAGTTGCTTCTCTCCTTGATTAGAATAGAATATAGAATAGAATAGGACAGGAATATAGAATTAGAATAGAATATAGAATACAATAGAATAGAGAATAGAATAAACAGAATTGGAAGGGACCTTGGAGGTCTTCTAGTCCAAGCCATTTATAATCCAAGAGGGGAAATCAAATACACGGCAGAGTTCGAAGGCAGACATCAAATAAAGTTAATGCTTAGTTAAAGTTAATAAATTGCATTTCGTAAAGACCACATTCCCAAAACAATCCCGGAGGTACGTAATAATATTTCCTCCTAGCAGCATTTCATGGCTGTAAGGGATGGATGCTGTAGTCCCCAAACACCTGGAACTGCCTGGCTGTAAAAAAAGGCAGTAAGGCCAAATTACAGAGGCTACAGGAAGCTGCTCTGGCTCGAGTCTGTTCCCCTGATACTCCACTAGGGGGCGTCCAGGATTACACTACTACAGTTGGGTATTTTGCAGAATTAAAGAATTAAAGCAAGGGGCTCTTCAAACTTGGCAACTTTTAAGACTTGTGGACTTCAACTCCCAGGATTCCTGAGCTAACTTGACTGGAGGAGGAATTCTGGGAGTTGAAGTCCACAAGTCTTAAAGCTGTCAAGTTTGAAGAGCCCTGAATTTCTACAGTGTCTATCTTCTATCTCCATATCTCTCTATTCTGTCTGTCTGTCTCTATCTATCCCAAGGGTATTCCATCTTGGCAAGTTTAAGACTTGTGGACTTCAACTCCCAGAATTCCTGAGCTAACATGACTGGAGGCAGGAATTCTGGGAGTGGAAGTCCACAACTCTTAAAAGTTGTCAAGTTTGAAGACCCCGAATTAAAAGATTTAGCTAGACTCACAATATTTTTTCCCCACTTCCCTGCCACACACCCACTTGGTTTTACAACTTGAGCGAAAGGTAGTAGTAACTATGGAGCAGTGACTATAGCCCAGAAAAGATCCCCTCACAATCACGTGATCAAAATTCAGACGCTTGGCAACTGGTTCATACTTATGACGGTCATAGCGTCCCAGGGTCATGCGATCAATTTGTTGTTGTTTTTTGGCCATTTTCTGACCGGCAAAGTCCAAGGGGAAAGCCCGGTTCACTTAACAACCAAATAACTGACCAACTGCAGTGATTTGCTTAACAACCGCGGAAAGGAAGGTCGTAAAACGGGGCAAAAGAGACGTAACAATTCTGACTTCACATACATTTTGGGCTCCATCAGGATCGCACCTTGACAAGCAAAATCAATGGGGAAGCCAGATTCACTTAACTATGGCACTGATTCGCTTAACAACAGTGGCCAGAAAAGTCATAAAACGGAGGAAGACTCACTTAAGAACTGTCCGGCTTAGCAACGGAAATTTTGGGCTCGACTGAAGTTGCAAGCCAAGGACTACCATACCTGCATGAGGATCGCCTTGTAGAATTTTAACTACCGTGCTCCCCCCAAAAATAAGATCCTGTCTTATATATTTTGGGGCCACCAAAAAAGGCAGCAGGTCTTATTTTCGGGGGACGTCATCCACTGACTAACCTCACTTGCGCACGTCGCTCCTGGCCTCCTTTTTGCTGTCAAGAGGCCTTCAGGAATTTCTTCTATGGCCGGCAAGGCTTTCCTGAAGGCCTCTGCAGCTGATAATGGAGCTTTGGATCGATCCAGAGCTTTGTTCTCAGCTCCAGAGGCCTTCAGGGAAGCCTTGCTGGTGGCAGGAGATTTGCTGCTGGCAAGGCAGGTGTTGGGGGTGCGCGAGGCCTGGCTACAACTGTCCAAAGGTAAGTAAGTAGGGCAGCTCCACACCCCCTATCCCCACCCTAGCTTAATTTTTACTCCTCCACTTTGGAGTGGATGGGACCTTAATTAGGGCTTATTTTAGGGGTAGGGCTTATACTGGGCTCGTGTAAAAAAATTATCAAACTAGGACTTACTTTCAGGGGAGGTCGTATTTTGGGGGAAATAGGGTATCCCTGCCAAAACGATGCCCTTCCCTTTCCTGCAATACCACCTCAGCTGCGGCACCATGCCAAGGGAGAAGATTAAGTCGGATTCCTTGCATAAAAAGGGGGCCATTAACCGAGTCAAGAGAATCCCAGAGAAAAGGTAGAATTGCGTTCTCCACCCAGCTCTCCAGACTAGTCCCAACCCAAACACACACACACACACCCTGCAGGCTTCAGCCGTGACCCACAATAAACCAATTCAGCTGCCAGCAGCAGAGCTGGAATTTCAATTTTATGCACCGTCGGTCATTCAAGCTGGTCGGGTACATTAAAAAAACAAATTAGAAGACTTTATAGGAAGGCTTTTTCTACAAACGGTCAGCAGTTCGAACAAAGCAGCCCTGTTTTAAATTCGGAGCAGTCAAAGGGGAAAAAGGCAATGCAGACTGGTTACTGCTAGTCCTCGGCTTTACGGCCACAACTGAGCCAACATTTATATGACTTTTATCAGCGTTAAGTCAAGGACTAGCTGTAAGCTGAGCAATTGGAAAAGCATCCATAGCATGCTGTTACCTGTTCAGGAAAGCTTCTGAAATTCCTTCACTGGGGCCTGAAGGGTGCTCAGCTGCAGAACCTTACAGGAAATAATGGGATAAGAGTTGGAAGGGACCCTGGAGGTCTTCCAGTCCAACCCCCTGCCCAAGCAGGAGACCCTGTATCATTCCAGTGAAACGGGTGTCCGATTCATTCTTAAAAACCTCCTGTGTTGGAGCACCCACAACTTCTGGTGGCAAGTAGTTCCACTGATTAATTAGCCTCACTGTTAGGAAATTCCTCCTTAATTCCAAATTGCTTCTCTTCTCCTTGATCGGTTTCCATCCGTTGTTTCTTGTCCTGCTTTCTAAGTGCTTTGCAGAGTAATTTTAATTTAATTTTAATCTTTGTGGCAGCCCCTCAAATATTGGAGCACTGCTATCATGTCTCCCCTAGTCCTCATCATTAAACTAAACATACCCAATATACTATATATATATTGGAAGGGACCTTGGAGGTATTCTCTTCTTTGTAGCAATTCAATTTTTAGTTGCATTACAATTAATTTAGTTTTATTGGCAATTAATTGCAATTAGTTGCATTCAGACACGGTTATAGCTTCTCTTGCAGAGGCATATTGAAATCAGACTTACAAAGAAATGTACCAATGACTTTGAAATTAAGAGGAATGTCCTTTTGGGGGGGGGGGAAATGCAAGGCTTGGGTCTGTCTATTTGTTTAATAAAAATACTTTATTGAACATATTTACACAATGACAATAAAAGAAAACATTCCGCTTATTGCAACATGAGCAAGACAGTATTCACTCAATTTGACATCTCTCAAACTTATGTAGAATGCACAATCATTCACACTTATTACATTGGTATGTGACACAAATTTTCATCCAGTTGATACATTACAAACGGATACCTAATTGCAAGGAATATTATTAACTTCCATTGTACCTTTTTATTTATCTTTCCTCTATTCATTTGATGTCTACCTTCCAAGCCAATGTACCATAAATTCCAGATCTCATAGTATTCTGTCTCCTCTTTGTTTTTAAATTCCATTGACAACCTATCGATTTTGGCACATTCCCAAAGTCTTCTTTATAATCATGAAGTATTTTCACAGTTTTGGGCAAAGTCAATTCTTGCTGCTGTTAGTATATGGAGTATAATATATAGCATTTTTTGCCATTTTTTTTGTTTTAAAATCCCTAATAAAAGTATTTCTGGTTTCAATTATCTATCTTGGTGGGACGTGGGATTTTTGGATCAAGGAAGCCTGGGATTTGCAATCAGGATGCCCAAGGTGGTTAATCTGCCCTGGAGGCCACTAGAGGCACGCACAGCCTCCTGTGTTTGCACCAACCCATCCATGCCATGTGCAAAAAAATGTGTCTCTTTGCAGAGTCTGGACCAATTTAGCTGACTGGTAAATTCCTGCTCAAGCCAGCAGTTGGACTAGAAGATCTCTGAGTTCCCTCTGTAATTCAAGGTTTGCATTTTTCCAGCAAGGGCTTTCGCCTTTAACTTCAAAAACCATTGGTATGTTTTTGTTGATGGTAGTTTTCAAGACTTATTTTGTGGGTCATTTGTGGGGATGAAAATCTGGATTAAAACTTTACTGGTTGACTCTCTGCCCTTAAAACAATTTCAATCCCCAAAATGGGATTAGCATGCCATTAATAAAAACCCACCAGATTAGAAAATATGACTTTTTAGGAAATATTTTTGCACCGGATTTCCCGGGTGTCCAGCAAGTATAAGGTGGGTTGTTGTTGTTGTTTTTTAAATACAGGTAGTCCTTGATTTACAACCATTCATTTAGTGAGCATTCGAAGTTAGCATCCTTTTGCAGTTACAAGCCCGCCCACACAGAAAAGGAAAAAAAATAAACTTCCAGCAGATTCAGGCTGCAACATGGCTGCAGATGTTCCCAGCCACCCCAGTGGGCCACCCCCACACGCCTACCCCCACGCTATGGCCATGCCACGTCGGCAAGGCCCGCGCCTGGAAAAACTTGGAGACAAAGCGCATGATTATAATGCAAGCTGTCGGGCAGGAAGAGGATGTTGAACAGAAATCAAAGCCCATTTATTTCATTCCCTTTTTCTTTCCCTCCTATTTCTGCGACCCGCCTTCATTGCAAAATTAAAAAGTCTTCAGGCTAGTTCTGCTTAGCAAAAATGCAGCCCGCGAGGGAGGAATCTCAGAAAGAATTTTCGAGAAATAATCTTTGTTTCTATTTCTGCAGAGTAGGAAGGCTTTCTGTGTTTTTCTTCCCAACTTTGAAAGCTAAGAAACTTCACTTTAAAATCAAAATATCCACATAGTTCTGATTTGCAGAATTTACTCTACAACTTTTGCTTGGTTTTTTTTCCTCTTTTTTTTTCTTTCTTCCACTCTCCCCTTCTTTCCTTCCCATTTTTTCCTGTTCTTCCTTCCTTCTCAAATTTCTATCCATCCATCCATCTTTCTTCCTTCAATTTCTGTCCATCCTTTCATTTTCTTTCTTTCCTCCTTCCTTCCTTCCCATTCTCTCTCCTAGTCTCTCTCTCTCTCTCTCTCTCTCTCTCTCTCCCTCCCTCCCATCCTTTCCTTCTTTCTAAAATTTATTGGCTGCCCATCTTACTATAAACTCTTACTGTTACATCTAAATGAAAACCTAAAAGCTAAAATCAAACATTAAAACAAAAGACACATAAGGATCTGTTATGTTCAATCAACTGCCTCCTCCATCACAAAGAAAATTCTGGTTTAGCAAAATGGTTTACATGCAGTCAGTATTAAGAGTGGCATTTTTTGAATTGGTTAACCAGTTTAAATATTCTTTATTTCTTCTAAGGGAACCTTCGTTTCTGCCCTTTTTTTCCCTCTGTCCAAGGCAAAAAAAAAAAAAGGGAGATTAAGTTTGCTATTTAAACAGCCTGCAGGGTTAAATTGACCCTTTCCACTTTTAAAGGCATCCTGCTAAAACTATATTTCCCACCCAGTGTATGAAAAGTTATCAGCAAAAATAGGAATAAACCCCAGGCCGGCTTAACCAAAGAATCACTAACCCCAAACTGATCTCTTTCTTTTCTAATTTTTTTTTGCGTGAATAAAACCCCACCTTCTATTGGTCCTGCATAAAAGGCATCCTAACTTTTATTTTTCCATCTAGGTCAGCTTCATTTTCTGGATGCTTGGATGTCAGGACAGTCTTCTCAGCCCTTTTGCAGAGGGCAAAATTAAAAATAAAACCCCAGGAGCTAAATTAAGCTTAGCCAACCTCCATGCAAAAGATTCTAAATCAAAGCAACCAATGCTGGTTTAATATAATCAGAAATAAACCTTATTTAGCGTCAGCGCTATCCATCTTTGCTTTTCCAAAATATGTTCCTTTTGGAATAAGCTCCAGTCCCAGCCCAAATTGAGGATCAGGGTTTCCCAACCCAGCTCCTAGCCACCATGGAACAAGCAGACTTGTTAAAAGGGCAAACAATCCTGGTTTATTAAAGACTAGCCAGCTTCCACCTGCCTATCCAGCTGAATTAAAAGTCTTA